GTGTAGAGATTAGTGACCGTTAATCGATAGTTATTCAGATATCGTGAGATGCGGTCGGGTGTGATGTAGGTTTCAGAAAAACATTTTCTTTATCGTGCCAACGTTTCGATCTTTTATTGAGATCATCTTCAGGGCTCAAAGTGTTTGTCTTCTGTGTAATTGTGCCATCCTTGTGTGTCGTGTTGAGAGTGCCCATTGGAGTGTATGTATTTGTTAAATGTAAACAATGTTTGTAAATCCCAGCCCCTGAAGATGATCTCAATAAAAGATCGAAACGTTGGCACGATAAAGAAAATGTTTTTCTGAAACCTACATCACACCAGACCGCATCTCTCGATTTCTGAATAATTATATAAACAATAAATCCGAGTCTTGGCTATCTTTAATGTTATTCTGTATAGTTTGGGAAATCTTTTTTTTATGTGTTCGTAGATAAAAAGACAATAATAATATTTTCCACTGAATCAGTTCTAAATTTAACCTAATTCCAAAAACCTTTTTCTATGTATAAAAAAAAAGACAATAATAATTTTCTCACTGAATCATTTCCAAATTTAACCTAATTCCAAAAACCTTTTTCTATTTATAACATAGGAACATCCAGGGAAGTAATTATACAAATTTACATTTTAAAAAAATTAAAACATGTAACATTAATTCGGAAAAATGCTTTTGATTTTTATAAAGCATTACAGACATCTCTACAAAAATATCGTTTGATATAACTTGTGTAATGGATAGGAAAATAAATTCCACATAATTTCACAGCCGAATGAACTCACACGCGATGTGGAATTTCAAAGGTACTAGGTGAGCTCCCGAACAAAAAATCCATCCAAAAAAATACTTCAAATAAAATAAAAAGTAAAATTTTTTCAATGATCAAAGAGAAAATCTCGCTTCTTCAAATCCGTTTGGCGAAGAGGAAATATCATGTCAGTTATTTATCACAAATTGATAAAACTTGATGGGTCTATGAATATCAATGCATATCATTAATAAACAATATTAAATAAAAATACACTAATAAAGAGATTGTTCCGTGTGGTCTGACAAAAATCACCCAGACATAGCACTGAAGATGGCGAAAGCCGATACGCGTGTGACGGACCCATCGCGGAAAGGCTGGCCCACAAAAGAACGGTAACGAACAACTTAAATATTTCATATTTGATTAGTTACTTAAATATTGAGAAAGGAAATAAGTAACTAAATTAGTAAAACCAACCAAGATAAGAAAAGTTTAAAAATAAAAACAAAAGGTATGTGTGATATAACATCGCAGTTTCCTCTTTCAACATATAGACACCTGGAACAAGCTATTTCTGATTTTATGTGTTTCTTCTTCATTAAATTATTTATTAAAGTATGTAGTACATTTATGAACTAATAATACCATAATATATGCGCATCGATTAGATATGCTTTCTAAAGACCAGTCTCTCCACCGATAGAGGAGTCAACTTCCGAACATAATCAAATCAAAGGGGAAATCTCTTAAAAAGATAAGAGCAGGAACACAAAATAACGAATACATTACAATAGCCCAACTTATGTTTTGAACATTCGCATATGCCTTTTTTCATTAAATTGAATAGAATAAAACGTTCCTCAGCGGAGAACTAATTTTTGCGAATTTCTTCAAACTTGGAATTTACGCCAATTAAACTGAAAAATATTTTCAACGTCGTAAGGCTGATTACATACCATGCAAGGCATATTAAAATTTTTAAAGGGGCAATATTAAGTACCATTTTAATACCATTTTGCGCATATACTACGATATGCCCAAAATTCATATTACTATAACATATCTGTCCCATTATTAAATAACTAACCATAATCATCTATCCTATTAGCTAAATTGAACTTCTAAGGAGTCAACGCCAGTTTTCGCTTATAAAGGATTATTTCGATTTCATAATTTTCTAAAATAATAAACGGGAAAGACACGTACATCAGAGAACGGTTATATTATGGCAATAACATCATAAATTTGATAAAACATAAGTATTGTATCACGATAAGACAATCGTTACAGGTAAAAATAGAAGTGTTTACAACAGCTAACAATGTACAGTACTACAATAAAAATTCTAATGAAATTTACTGAAAAGCGAAAGTTTCTGTAATAGTAAATGTTAAAGATAAAACACCAATAAGTTGAAAAACCATGCGAATTAATAATCACCATAATTAAATCAGGAAGATAGACAAAAGTTAAAAATTGTTCTGTTTACAAAAGCTACCCAGAATATTAAGTCGATCAAGAGATTTCATAAGTTTCTGGTATATTAAACATCAAAGAACCATAAAAACGTAGTGAATGGACAATAGCACACCAATTACAAATCATAAATGTTGATAGGTAAAATTATTATTTACAAAATAAAAATTGCATTGACATGACGATTATCACTGATCAAAATGTGGCCATTGCTAGGTTGGTTGGTTTTTTTACAATCAATTGCAAATGTTTGTTCTGTGTATAGTATTGTGTCTCTAGTATTTAATGATCGTTAATTAATGATTATCTGGAGATCGTGAGATATGGTACGTTTAGAAAAACATTTTCTTTATCGTACCAACCTTTCGATCTTTATTGAGATCATCTTCAGGGCCTGGGATTTACAAACATTGTTTTTTCTGTTTATCGAGATATTGTGAAGTAATTCTTATGTATGTGGCTAGGAAATTTGTACAACTAACTTTGTAAATTACGAATGATTTGTTGCCTAGTGGTGTTGGACCTTTAACTTTGAAAATGGGCGATTTTTTTAGTCAAAAGGTCGTGAATGGGGTTGTAGGGGGTTGATTTTGAAATTCTGGTTATATTCAAAGGGTACAATTACTAATATTAGAAAGAAAACTAATTTTTGTGTACAATATCGAAAAAAATTTGTTTTATGCCGTTGGCGTAGGCTACGGCTGAGTTTGCACGTGTTTGTCCTGTGTAATGCTGAGTGTATCTCTGTTAATGTATACCAGGCCTAAAAAGTTTCGTTTGTATTTTTTTTTTTTCAGTGTTTACTATTTTTATGTTTTTTATATCAAAGTCGAGTTGTTTGTTAAAACGGTCGGTGGTCATTCCTGCGAACTTAGAGATCAGTTTTTTACAATCAATTACAACGGTTTTTTCTGTTTATCGAGGTCCTGTGAAGTAATTCCAATATATTTGGCTGGGCAATTTGTACAATTAACTTTGTACATCACGTCTGAATAGTTGGCTAGAGGTTTAGGAACATAAACTTTGGAGAAAAGAGCGTGTACGGTTTTGTAGTTCTGGAAGGTTATTTTGACGTTGTCTGAGGAGAGAAATGTAGTCAATTGGTATGATGAGTGAACCACCGGTCGTTAAACAACCCTACGTTATAATATATTTGAATATGGTCATAGCGATATGTCAAAACCAAAAATATACAATAACTAGCAATAGTTCTTGAAAAACCGCATAATTGCTGTGTTTGCGTATACTTGGTGAAAATGGAGATGTGAATTTGTAACCTGCTGTTTTATAACATGTTTACAGGGTGGATTTGATATTTTCTTTGCAAGTGGGCGACTTTTTTTTACTCAAAGACAGTTGTGAATGGGGATTGTCGGGATTGGTTTTCTAATTCTGGTTCATTCAAAAGGTTAGTAATATAAAAAAGTAAACTATTATTTACAATATCGAAAATAGAAAATTTATATATTTATTTTATAATGTATCTGCACTGTGTCTCTGTTAACGTATATCTTTTGTAAAAAGTTTCGTTTGTATTTGTTTTGTTCAGTGTTTAGTATTTTTATATTTTTCAAATCAAAGCCGTGTTGTTTGATAAAACGGTGGGTGGCCATTGCTGTGGGGTTAGATTTAAGTATTTTTTTACAATTACAAATGTTTTTTATGTTTGTCGAGATAATGTGAACTAATTTCTATTATGTTGCTGGGCAATTTTTACAATTAATTTTGTACATTACGTCTGAATTGTCGGCTAGCGGTGTCAATCATAAACTTTGGGGAAAAGTGTGTACGGTTTTGTATTTCTGGAAGGTTATTTTGATGTTGTCTGAAGAGAGAAATATATTAAATTTTTATGAGTGAACCACCGGTCGTTAAACAACACACACGTTAAAATATAAATATTTATGGTCATAGTGATATAATGCCAAAACCAAAAATATGCAATCACTAGCAACAGTTCCTCAAAAACCGAATGAGCCTAACGTACAACGATCATGCCATTTTGATTTCACTAGATTTTCAATAATAAATGGTTAACCTATATTACAAAGTTGTTTGAATGATTATAAACTCTAATCATAAATATGATCAAATAAACTTTCCTGGCGTTATAGCAATCGTTACAAGTAAAACAGGAGAATATTTTTAAAAACTAATGAGAATTGACAGAACGTCTGATTAACAGTTATCAAACTGTATGAACAATTAGGGAAATTATTATTGTCGTAGTCACAAGTGTCAGTTCAGTTTAGATAAGTTGACACTTTGTCTAATTCAGAAATGGGGAAGTTTTCTTCGAGTTTTCGATGATATATACTCTAATAAAGAAGTATAAATAATATCCAGGGTGATTTTTTTTTAAATTATTTTTAATATTAATGTTATGAAAAGGACCTTGACTGGTGATGGGTTTCGTAGAGGGGTTTCCAGGCGGTTCGGCCTCCTCGGGGAGCGAGGAGAAGCAGAGCGACTCGAAACAGACACGCATGTATTAGCTTGTATTCAAACAAAACACGTACGCGACACGCAACTAGCACATAGCACTGCTTTTGTCAGACTAATTCTAATTCGGAGCCGGGAGAGTGGTGAGCGCGGAGCGGGAGTGGGCGATCACCGCGCAACCTTCTGGCCCGGCACGACTCCGACCTTATCTCGTACCGGTCGTACGACGTACCCGTGAGGGACGGAAGAACGTGGTACGGTTCGTCTGAACCCCATTCACGACCGGGAGGGTTGATTAAAAGGGGATGCAACCCTGGAAATTGCCACTTACCTCCTTTTCCGCTAGTCCATAAGCACACGTGCTTGACAGCCTCGCGATACTGGCCCGTGTTGACAGAGTGCGCTTGTTCGTTAAAAGCCGATGTCGTAAGGGCGCAGCACATGCCTAAACCTGATCCACTGGACGTGTCAGACCGGCTTCCGGCTCGCGGTGGGAGTCGGGGGACGAAATTTTTTCACTCTAGTCTCATAGATTTATTTAATATTTTTATTATTCATAAAACACTATTAATATCCATAAAGGACACCACTGTAAAACAATGATTAGAATTAAATTATGTATTTTTCCTCGACATTTTGTCTAAAGCACAGTCCGATCTATGGAACTCCATAATAGAGAATGTGTGTTTGAATAAAATTTCTTTTAGTTCCAGCAATGTTTATTTTTATTTCATGGAAAGCTTTTCAACTGCTTCGCAGTTATCTTCAGCCAATTAATTTTAAACAAATTAAATTTAGTTTTTAGGTAAATGTTGAGATCACTGTACAAAACAATCGATCTTCTGATTCTGAAGATTGTCTTAAGACTGAGTGTTTTGTATGGTGATCTCAACATTTACCTAAAAACTAAATTTTTTGGTCGAAAGTATTTACTACACTGGGTTGCAAACAAAATATTAGCTCTAAAAAATAATAAAAACACTAATATAAGATTGTGTTGGGTTAGGGGTCACGCCGGAATTTTTGGTAATTTCATGGTAGACACACTAGCAAAACGAGCTTTGTATGAGGGGAAGAGTCTTACAGTTCCTATTCCCATTCAGAAGGCGAAGAACGATGTATCCAGGCGGAAATTATTAAGAAATGGCACAGCACAATTAATTCTACACCGACGGTTGCTTTCAATACCTCAATAAATCCAAATTGAAATAAGTAACCTTGGTTCCATGGACTGGCCTAGTCAAAAAAGGACTGCTCTATGATAAGCCGACTTAGATCCGGTCATGGCATTTCTGGGGTGTATCTTTACAAAATAACCACAAAGACAGACTAAGTTATGCGGAACATGCCATGTAGAGGAAGATGTAGAACACCTTATTATGAACTGCAAGAAATATTCGAAAGAGAGAAGGATTTGGTTTGACAGATTATATGCAAAGGAGTGCATTGTCAAACCAATAAATTACAAATCCCTACTCTTGCAAAATGATGATCAAATATACCGTCTCATGATAGAGTTTATACATAGCTATAACACTGCAAAATGTATGTATGTATAATTGAATTGTGTATTTAATTTTTGATTTATGATTTAATTTGTGTATAAATTATTTATTTATTTAATTATTTATTCTATTTAAATGTATTCATTAATGTATTTATAACTACAGCTTACTATCAATACTAAGGAGAGAACGTACTGTAATGTGGAAACACAAGATTAAAAAAAACTTTCCATGAAATAAAAATAAACAGTCTGGAACTAAAAGAGGATTCTCCATTTTTCCTCGGTTGGACGTTCGCATTTATAAAAAGTTTCGATAAGTTAATCCAACTCTACCCTGATATGTGATATACAGGGTGACTGGCGATAAGTGTCATTGGATGAAGAGAAATTCAGCCGGACCAACTAAAAAAGATAACCTGTGTTCAAACACCAAAACTAAAAGTCGCTCTGTCAAGATGGTGAACCAAACGTCGTCTCCAGTCAGCAAAAATTAAACCCAACATATCCAAATTGTGCAGGCTAAAACAACTTCACTCTTCTCATAAATCCATTAACCATTAATGTGTGGTTATTAGTGACCGTTAATCGAAAATTATTCAGAAATCTTGAGATGCGGTTTATAGCGTAGATTTTTTTAAAATGTAAATTTATATAATTACTTCCCTGGATGTTCCTTTGTTATAAATAAAAAAAGGTTTTTGGAATTAGGTTAAATTTGGAACTGATTCAGTGGGAAATATTATTATTGTCTTTTTTGTTATAAATAGAAAAAGGTTTTTTTGGAATTAGGTTAAATTTAGAACTGATTCAGTGGAAAATATTATTATTGTCTTTTTATCTACGAACACATAAAAAAAGGTATTCCCAAAATATAGAGAATAACATTAAAGATAACCAAGACTCGGATTTATTTTTTATATAATTATTCAGAAATCGAGAGATGCGGTCTGGTGTGATGTAGGTTTCAGAAAAACATTTTCTTTATCGTGCCAACGTTTCGATCTTTGTTGAGATCATCTTCAGGGCCTGGGATTTACAAACATTGTTTACATTTAACAAATACATGTAGGATTTAGAAAAAAGTGAATTCATACAATGCAAAAAAATATTTTTTATATTCAATCAAAGTATTTCTACTCACTCAAAGTGTTTGTTTTCTGCGTAAACACTTTAAGTGAGTAGAAATACTTTGGATTGAATCTAAAAAAAATATTTTTTATATACTCTTGCCGAGTGGGCACTCTCAACACGACACGCAAGAATGGCACAATTACACAGAAGACAAACACTTTGAGCCCTGAAGATGATCTCAATAAAGATCGAAACGTTGGCACGATAAAGAAAATGTTTTTCTGAAACCTACATCACACCAGACCACATCTCACGATTTCTCAATAATTAAACATTAATGTTAAAATTAATACTTTTCAAATTGGCTCGAGTGGTATTGATTCCGTTCTGTCCAATTTGATTTTTGTGTTCCGGATTTTGTAAATAAAATTAAGAATGCTAATCGAATGTTTGTTAATGATTTTTTAAAAGAAAACAAACTGGAACTTGCGAATGGCACGTTGATTGATGAAATATGTGAACAGCCTCGAAGTTTGGACATGCCCTTTGAGCACTACTTCCCACAGCTCGTGTTACAACGCTGCAAAACCATGAATGGGTAGTCAAACCGATTTCAATTTCGACAAGCGAACGAAATCTTCAAGTGCATACCAACGTTTGATAGATATTCCTTCAGACTCCACTTTGAAATCTATTTTCGGGTCCGATATCCATTTTTGACAAAACGAAACATTTCAACCTCTCGTTGAAAAAGCAAAACGTGTTCTTCAATTTGCCACAACTTTCCTAGGCGGATCCGCACTTCCTATCTGTACAGCCACCAAAACTAAATACCGAAGATGAACAGATGCTTTCGTATCTAAATCCGTCGCCAGCTAACAAAACTTAAACCCAGCATATCCAAATAGTGCTGGCAAAAGAACTTCGCTCTTCCCATTAATTCATTAATCATTAATGTGTGGTGTTTAGTGACCGTTAATCAATAATTATTCAGAAATCTTGCTCGTGTTGAGAGTGCAGAATGGCACAATTACACAGAAGACAAACACTTTGAGCCCTGAAGATGATCTCAATAAAGATCGAAACGTTGGCACGATAAAAGAAAATGTTTTTCTGAAACCTACATCACACCAGAATTAGTTTAATTATTTGGATGTTTGACATTATTTATGTACATATTTAAAATTATGATCTACCTCCCATTTTAAATATGTACATAAATAATATCAAACATCCAAATAATTAAACTAATTATTTTAATTGCTATTATTTTTATAGTAATTTAATAATATTAAGTATTTACTAGTATAATATTTAAATCAGCTGCTAATTGGAACGTCGCGTTGTCAGAGGTATCAGCGGGTTCACTTTGGCAATTCATGTCGAGAGACGTGGTTGTATTAGTCATTCAACCTGATGACGAGCTAAAAGGCTCGAAATCCTGATCGTTGCAAAACAACTTACTGTGAGTAGGAACTATCTTTTTAAAAAGGATCACATAAACAGATATTAAAACTAATTCTTTTCTTAAGTATTGCTTATGTGAGTGTTTATTTTATAATTAATCGATACTATTTATTTTTATAACATTGGATGACCGACACAAATATGCAGGTACAATTAAATTCAAAAATATACGACTAGAAAGCGACAATTTTATAAACTAAGTTTCAAATTTTATAAACTAAGCATAAATGTAAAAATGTGCAATAAAGAAATTAAGATAGATTTAACTTCCAATCGTAAAAAAATTATAACCGTAAAGCACAGCAAATTATTTTAACATTACTTTGAATATTTTATTTCCATTTATTTACATCTAAGGTACAATAGTATAATGTGTTTTGTATGCAACCAGCAGATTTCTATTTATCAGTGTAACTTTATCGTTATGATAATAAGAAAAATAAATTTATATGATTTCCTGAAAAACAAAATTGCTAGGCATACAAGCTTAAGCCCATGTCAAATTTTTTGAGATTGTTATTCAGATATCGTGATCAAACGGTCACTAATCTCTACACATTTTTTGAGATTCTCAAATATTCAAGACAGTTTAATAAAAAGCTTAATATATCAATAACATTTGATTTTATTTATAGTCACTACGATTTGGCCTACATTGACTACATCCAACGACCTTCTCGTGATAATCTTGATTCCATCCCCAATCCAAAAGGGATATATAGGTAGGGAGAGGGAGAGGGGGAGAGAGAGAGAGAGAGAGAGAGAGAGAGAGAGAGAGAGAGAGAGAGAGAGATCCAATTATACATTAAATCTGAACATTGCAATCAATTTTTTCTTTTTCACAAGATTCAATGAATTTATTTTACAGTTTTATTATACAAACAAATACATATTCAACAGTTTTCAAACGTTTTGATCAAGTTTAGATACTACAATTGTACTAAAAACACTACGTAACATCTTGACGTAAGAAGTATTTTGAAAAATCTGAGAACGGTTTGGCAATTATTCCTCCTTTCAACTGGGGATGAAAAAAATGGTGTACAATTCAAATCACGAATGGTCGTATTTGGAAAGTAAGAAATCGATGGAAAAAATATACATACCATCTTCTGCGTTGTAAAACTCGGTTCAAGGGCAACCAGAAGAGATAACGGTGCCACTGTCACAAATCCCTTGATGCGTTGTCCAATTTTCCCAGTCTACTCTTTTCTGGATGAATCCTAAAATAGTGACTATGCACGAAAAAGTTCCAAAAATTAGGAAAATTTACCACGCTGGGATTTGCAGCATTTTGAAATTGCAAGTTTTTTTTTCTCTCGCCTCTTCAAACTATTCTAATTTTATAAATAATGGTCAAATAGTTGGGAAACATTGTTTATCATAGTTTATATTAAATTATTTTTTTAATATAATTACAAGAAAACTATATGATATTTTAAATAACTAATAATTTAATACTCCTCCAAATTTAAATCTTATATATCCGAAGATTTTTTTTGGAAAAACCAAATTTGACTATCGAAATTATATAATCATTTGTAAGTTTTGCTTAATTTGAAAAAGTTCAGATAACATGTGCGCCTTTAAAAATGACCATGCATAGCAGGCCTGCATTGCGGGTTAGTATTATTACCAGCCCAGTGGTTGTATTACATTTCTGCTTAAATATTTACACTTTGGTTTATTTGGATTTATTATTGGCTTTTCTAATGGTTTACTAAAAATAAAACTCGATAAATAATATTCTTAAAACCCCGCTACATTTATACCATGATAGACTTTATTTTGTCAGTGTAGTCATAAGTTTGTTACAGAATGGACGGAATTTGTTACTATGTGAAATGAGGAACGACAGTTACGATTCATCCTCTGTGTTTACACGGTGTGAAAAATAGGAAAGAAACAGTTAAAACAAAAAGATTTAAGGTTCACTGAGCCTGACAATTAAAAGTAATGCGTAATTAAGTTGACAGTGAATGAAAATTTGTTGTGCAAGCATAATCTGAAAGATAGACACCTGAGATTAACAACAAATCTACTGCATTGTAATTATTCTATTTATGTTTCTTTATGGATTTTTTTATGTTAACTTCTTTCCTCCCTAGCTTGGATCCTCTCATCCAAGGAAAACCTATGTATGAATCCAATTTATTAAATTATTGGTATTTTTTGGGCCTAAATGGTACAGTAAAATATTTTTTAATTTAGAAATATTTCTGAAATAATATAGTAACAAAACAAAATAACAAAACAAGTAAGTATAAATAATCCACTTGTTTTTAATTTTCCAACTTTAATTTTCACTGTTAAAAATCTTTTCTTTTTGAAATTTTTCGTGGAAATTGTGGTTTATTTTGCTAGTTGTTAAAAGTTCCATGAATAATTTGGTTTAATATTAGTTAAAGTTAACAGGATTAAAACAAAGAGTACATTTTTATCATCGTTTTTACAATATTAGCGTTACAGATATAGAAATCCTTTCGACATGGTTGTAATCATTGGAGATATTTTTTTAAGGCGATGGAATTTAACGGTTCTGCGCGCGAACCGCTTTTTCGGAATCGGAGGCTGAACTAAGCACACTGTGTTTTGCATACGAAGTTGCGTAAGAGTTGTGATAAGGGATATCACGAGGAAGGGGAGTGGGGACGTTGAAAGAGTCCTGAGTTCAGTCGCCGCTCAAGAGATGTTCAGGCAGGGTCTTCTGCTCTCCCTCTCCTCTGCCTTTTTAATCAGTGTATGCTCGTACGGCGCCAAAAGCTGCCAGGTCCCCGTCGGGGAGCTGAGCTTCGTCATGTACTGCATGCTCTTCCTGTTCAGCCTGCCGGTCGCTCTGTTGAACAAGGACCCAGCTTTCCCGGGAAAGAAATTGCCAGCCCTGTGGGGACGGTCGTTGTGCAGTGCACCGGTCGTCTTGGTGTCCAATCTTGCGACCAGGATGATGCCGCTCGCCGACGAGGCTCTCCTCGCCTACACCTCCATCGCCTTCACAGTCATATCCGCCAGATTCTTTCTTGGAGAATCTTGTAAGATAGAAAAAGTGATTTCAACGTGCAGTGTTCTCCTAGGAGTTGTCATGATAACCGGCCGGCCGGTTGGTAATTATCCCGATTACGTCTACGGATGTTTCCTGTCTTTCCTTGGCGCTTTCTGCGATGCTGGATCGTATATATTTCTCAAAAAACTCACTAGTCTGCATTATTCGGTGATCATATTGAATTACAGTCTGTCCAGTATGTTTTTGACGTTTCCATTCTTCTTTTTCGAAAAATGGACTTTGGACGTTTCGGCGGCGTGGATACCGTTTTTGGCGACTGTGCAAGAACTTCTAGTGACTCTCGCTCTCGCGACCGAACAAGCCGGCGTGGTGTGTCTCGTACACGCGTCTGACATTGTTTTCTCTTATATGTGGGAAATACTGTTCTACAACGAGGATTACACACCCCTGAGGATATCTGGTACCATCTTGATCACCGCTTCCGTCGCGTACACTGCGATCGTCACAGAGGCAGATGATAAACCTCTCAAACCTCTTCCTCCTCCTGAGTTGATTTAGCGCAAAAGATGATAGGTAATCACAATCGTTTTAAGAAAAATATTTTAACAAGCTTTTAAACGTCCTAATTCCACAAATTCCACTCTATATTATTATTTACAGATTAATCTTCTTCCAACATACTCCAAGAGTATGGGTTCCAAAAATTACAAATTCAATCTGTTTACTTATAATTTCAACAGAATAATTGTTTTATTTATTTATTTTCTAAGACTGTATATCCACATTCTGGTTAAAAAAATGTTATTTTCACATAAGGGTCAATTTAGAAATAATCAAATCACTAAATGTTTCCCAAAGTTAAATTATTATTGACGGTATACAATGAACGAAACTAAAATTATATTTTATAAGTTTGTATTTTATTAAGGACTTGTATCCGCGTATTTTTCAGTCATGATAACATTCAGACGTCGAGAGTAAATGTATTATCGCAAAAGTCCAGGCGGTACAACAATCCTTCCATTCTTCAATGGCTCAAAAAACTGATCTTTTTGATAGCAAGGCAAAACATGCCAAACATTGATAAGGTTCTTTGTACGTATACGTCGTATCACGTTTCCCGTACAGAGAAACAAGATTTTATGCCAAAACAACAAAATACCTACCAAATATATTTGAGCTTACACTTTAACCTGATTAACGGCCACTAAGCACAAAATAGTTATTTTTCCTCTATCTGTGTAGTTACAATATTCTGCTCCCTGTTTTACAGAGTTGAGTATTATAGGACATTGCGGAGTTTTCTGCAGAAAGGATCATGGTAAATTCCTATCTCCATTCAATAAAAACAATTTATTTTCTTGGACAATCAATTTTAATTCTAACAAACTGTTTGCACTTAACACAAATATACACAAGTTCAGTGTAGCAATGATATAGATTTTAAGCTATTTTATCTTATCGAATTTTTATTTGATTAGTTTTGAATAGTTGTAAATAGATTAAATCACAATTCGATCGTAACAACAACGATTAAATCTTTATTTTAAAATACCTATTATTTGGATAAATGCAATAATTAAATTTGAGATTGGATGATTTTGTCTTTAAAGATGTTAAAGAGCATCATGGAAGAACCTGTGTTTGTTTACAGGTCCGAAAAGTTTGTAAAGCATCGCACATACCTTTCAGTGTATTTAAAATGAGTTAAAGTGCCTTTCCATGTTGACTCTGACCGTGAAAGAGGTAGAATTCAAGGTGAAAATCATTGTAGACCAAAAACGTAATATTTAACAATAAAAAATATATAGACAGAAAGTACGTCTTACTACTTTGGTATTGAGTTAATACAAATATAATAGGTATATTTATTAGATAGATATTTTATGTAAAAAACGAAAATGGTCTTCGAAAACCGCACAGTTCATCTGTAAAAGAAAATATACCGTATTAAAATATTGCTTAAATTTATCAAGAATCGTTCCAATTTTGAAAAGTAAATATTTTTCCTACTAATGTCAATAAACTTTCACTGTGTGGATGATAGATGTTCTATTTGTTTTTGATAAGCCTTTCTGTTTTTCTTGATTATTATACTCCCAAAGACAAAAGAAAACGGACACGCGTATTTTGTTGTTTGTTTCAAACTGTATATATTTTATTCACTAATTTCGTGGTCCGCTTGACCAATTAATATTGAAAAATGGCAAAAAGGAGGGAAAATTCAAAAGGTGGGGTTGAGATGGAGAGTTGGTGTCCGAGTGGATCGAGGTCACGATAGCTCAATTGGTAGAGCAGCGGCGTATCTAGCCGAAGATCGTGGGTTCGAATCCCGCCATTGACTTTTTTATCTCAACCAAAAAGCCTTAATTAATTATAATGTATATATTTTTTATCTTCTGATTTTTCCTTGTCGAAGGTTGGATAATAGGTCATCTCAAAAAAAACAACCAATTTTTTTCAATCCACACGTTTCGGATTTATTTTAATCCTTCCTCTGGTGAGTTAGCGCCTATGCACAAGATTTCTTACATTTTTAGACAAACAATGATAGCCCACCAAAAAATCAGAAGTTAAATTGTTGAGGTCGAAATAAAAAACATCGTTACTCTAAGTATATTTTTTATTGTTATATTAATTACAACATGCTTATTTTATTTAAATCAAATTAAACAAGATTCGTAATTAATGATTTTTTATAAAAATTATTTACTTATATTGGATTGAAAGAAAATTCACCAAAACACCGGAAAATCATTCAGTGATAGAATGATATGAATTTAACTAACAATTTATTTCCTAGTTTTGTTCTGATTAACACGTATTATCGTGTAGCCACGTGTAGCCTAGCGAAGGGGCTGAATTCTCCTAAGCAAATGGTTTTCAGCTTGTGAAACAAAATCCAATTCTTCAACAAGAACGGTTTGAATTCGTTCCATACTTGTTGGAACGATGAACGATGTCTAATCCGCCTCTTTATCGTACCTCATAAGTGTTCTGTAGGATGTCAGGAGACCCCAATCATGACGTCACCATTTACGTCATTATTCTTATTAATGTAATACTAGGTTTCCTATCACTTATTTATATAAAACGTTAGATGAAATAAAAAATAAAACAAATACTTTGTACAATTTTTATTGCAATGAGTTACATTTTTTTACGATTGAATAAAATTCTAATTAGTTTCGTCCTCTGTACACAAGTGATATTTTTCGTTGAATATTGGTTATACCAACACAGCAGTTGATCGTTGAATATGTTTCGGGAGAAAAGCTTTCATGAAAGATTCTCTTAGCTCCGTGGTCGGCAACAAGAGTAACCGTATTTAGCTCCGTATCTAGTAACCTGGACAAGATCAGTAGAGTTCATGTATATTAGTTTATATGTGAAATTATGTTTTTAAAAAAGTTTTCTCTTACCTTGTTCAATTTCTAGTCTTCATCCTCGGAAAACGTACGACTTATATTAAGTCTTTCAATCAAAGTTTCTATCCTTCAAGGTGCAAAATCCAACAATGTGTAGTACTTATTTCTCTGAGTCATAAACAGGCGATACTTCATTATTAAACTTTTTTCTCTCTATTTGTCATACAGGATAACATAATGCTTCGAGGTCCAAAGTCCAACCATTTCTTGTAGGTATTTTCCCAAGACATAAATGCACTGTTTCCTTCCCCTTGTATATAGCATTTATGACATTTTATCATAAACAATTTAAAAATGAAATTTTAAAAAAAAGTTATATTAAACGAATACCTTATTCGTGGGTTTTTGAGTGATAAGGAAAAGATATTGTTCTGAATAATAGATATTTTTTTCTAAAAAAATAATAGAGAGTAACATAATTTAGATAACAAAAATTCTATCAATAATAGTACAATAATTCTCATAAACTTCAAGTTTCTATCTTTCGAGGTGCAAAGTCCAACAATGTTTAGTATTTATTTCCCGAGAAATAAACACAAGATGCTTCCTTTCCCATTTTGCTTTATAACATTTTATATACCATATGAAAATTAAAATAAAAGTTATATCAAACAAATACATTATTCATGGGTTTTTGAATGAGAACGTAAAGGTATTGTTCTGAATAATAGAAATGTTTCCTGAAAAAAATTATCAATGCTACTAGCACACAATAGAGTGAAGGATAAGGGGCACACAAAATAGAGTAATATAAATTAGATAACCAAATTCTATAAATAATAAAATACAATGAGAAACGTTTCGAAACCATATCTACAAATTTATCACACGCGGCTGGGCGTCTATATATCACAGGATTTGTTGGAATTTCATTCAATTTGTTTCGATAATAGGGGTAAGGGAATAAGCTTCTGAAATTTTGATATACATGCCAACACAATATTTTTCTTTGTCTGGCTCACATGAATAAATTAAGAATGCTTTCAAAATCAGCATATATTACAGGGAAGTATACTGAAAATTTTCAAATCTATCCGGAGGTATTTGACCACCATTTATTGCTGGGAGGACAGCACGAACGGGTTTGATTGCGGTGCTATTTCCGACAGATTATTTAAAACCAAAAACGAAATTGTTTTTGATATCAATAGATTTATTCGGATATCCTTTATAATTTCGTAAATAAAATTGCTACTGAGACTGAGAAGTGTACATGAAGAGATGAGGTTTGACATTGGATGGAATAGATGGATTGGTGAAAATATACACCCCTGCAGACGCATTATAAACAAAAGTTGCCATTGTTTATACCTTTATACAACTAGATCCTCTGCGGGATAGCCACAAGCGTTAAATTCGGATTTTCCATGAATATCGACCGAATAATCTCTCAATATTCGCTTACTTTTTCTCTAAGCGACAAGAGATGAGTCGGCGTAAGCGCGTCGCTACTTATTCTTGTGTAGGGGACGGTAAGGTTCTAGAATTCAATAAACCAGAGAGCATATTCAGTAACAATCCCGTCTCTTAACGGTACCCAAACCACAGGATCTGAATTAATCTACAAGTCAGCCACAACTCCAAATCTGGGATGAGTCTATCAACAAAGGGACTTACCCCAAACGACGCTCGCCACGATTAGTGTCCACAGCATCTTTTATTTCGACCGTTGACTTGGCTCGATGGATCTCAACGGCTGATCCTCGTTGGCTCTGGCTGGCTGAGTCCTCTTGTTGATAGACTCATCCCAGATTTGGAGTTGTGGCTGACTACCCAAACCACAGTAGCGACGCTCTTACGCCGACTCATCTCTTGTCGCTTAGAGAAAAAGTAAGCGAATATTGAGAGATTATTCGGTCGCCGCGCCGTCGTCCGCTTACAGAAGCATCTTGTGTTTATGACTCGGGAAATAAATACTACACATTGTTGGACTTTGCACCTCGAAGGATAGAAAAACGATTGAACGAGACTATCTTAATATAAATTGTACGTTTTCCGCGGAGGAAGACTGGAAATTCAACAAGGTAAGAGAAAACATTTTTTTAAACATAATTTTACATATAAATTTTATTATAGATGAACACTTTTCCCTTATTAAGTGAAAAATATCGAAAAAATCCCCCCCCCCAAAAAAAAGAGGATGAAACGAATTAGAATTTTATTTAATTGTAAAAACAATATAACATTTCAATAAAAATTGTATAAAGTGTGTTTCATTTTTTATTTCACCTAATGTTTTATTTAAATAAGTGATAAGAGACGTATATTACATTAATAAGATTAATGACGTAAAATAAACTAATTATTTTCAAGGATACTAAGATACAATAATAATATGTACGTATATTTAAATAAGTAAATAAATAAAACACACGTTTTGAGTTTGTTCCGCAAGATTACTCTGCTTCAGGCTAGCTGACATAAACAAAAATATATTGCCGACTTGTTCAACGTCATTTACATTGAGTAAACCTTCCAATTCATCAATTATATCCACTTTATTTAATAAATACTCAATGACGTATTTCTGAACATATAGGGTGTCCGTTTTAGATGGCCTGGCTGAATTTCTCTTGAGCACATGACGTTATCAAAACAAAACAAAACTTGATTATCATTTTTTAGTACAGTGTCCAATTGTTATCTTTCTTTTGGAGAAAAATTATAAAATAAATCTATAAATTCTCCAGCTTAATGAATGTCCCGCATATCTCTTTGCAGGTGAGACATTATTCGAAACCTCACTTCCAGGATGGGACATCATGGCCCGATCTGTTGGCCTCGTCGGTCACCAGATTTAATCCCCTTGTCTATTTTCTGTTGGACGAGGTTGTTCAGTTATCGACCAACTTTGATTATAATCTGGTTTCGGATGTTATTGGGTATGTGGTCTTACACTGTCTTATACGGTTGCCAAGCTTTCGCCTCTCTATTTGGCCTTCCTCAGGGCAATGGACGAAGTTCTAAATAAAAATAATAATGTAATAACCATTTAAAAGTCAATGATTTAAATGTAGGACGTCGTACATTGCCCTGAGGAAGGCCAAATATAGAGCCGAAAGCTTGGCAACCGTATAAGACAGTGGTCTTATGCTTCATTGAAGGACCACATACCCAATAACATCCCAAACCAGATTATTTTCTGTTGGGGCCATTTAAAAAAACAGTGTCTACGCATAACCCAGCAGCCTCAGTTGAAGAACTGACCCAAATAATAGAAAATGATTGTCAATCCATCTTCCCTGACTGTATCGCTCTGAGAGGTTAAAGAGGTGCTGAGTGGTTATAAAGAAAATTTTTTTTGCATGTTTCCGCAAGGCAGGCAGTTCGAACATGAAATGTGATTAATAAACAGCCAACCAAATGACTGTAGTTTTTTAAAACTTTTTGCCATAACTTTGTGAGTTTGAAAAACAATTTCAGAATGAAAACAATAAAAGCAATTAATATTTACAATTAATTAAGGTTTATAGTTGAGATAAAAAAGTTAATGGCACGAGCGGGATTCGAACCCACGATCTTCGGCTAGATACGCCGCTGCTCTACCACTTGAGCTATTGTGACCTCTATCCACTCGGACACCAACTTCCCATCTCAAACGCACCTTTTGAATTTTCCCAATCCCGCTCGTGCCATTAACTTTTTTATCTCAGCTAAAAACCTGAATTAATTGTAAGATATTACTTGGTCAAGCGGACCACGAAACTAGTCAAATTAATATTTACTTTAGTGAAGAAGTAAATTATAGGGATTAACAACGAAACAATCAAAATGCGTTTTTTCAAACTTTTTGCCATAACTTTGTGAGTTTGACAAACAATGACAGAATGTAAACAATAAAAGTAAGTAATGTTTACTTTAGTGAAGAAGCAAATTATAGGGATTAACAACGACACAATCAAAATGCGTTTTTTGAAACTTTTTGCCATAACTTTGTGAGTTTGACAAACAATGACAGACTGTAAACAATAAAAACAATTAATGTTTACTTTAGTGAAATATGTTTGGTTTTGTTACAATATAGCGAATTATATTTCTGTATTAAACTCGTCTATTTCTCATATAGGATTAATATACTAGCGTGCGATAAAAATATTAAACATTTTTTATAATCGTGTAAATAAAAATATTTTAGTTTAAGTAACAATAAAAATGCTCCTGGGAAGGTCACAATATTTATACATGAATTCCTTATCCAAATTTGTGCAACCATGCATGTTCTGTTTAATTATTCCCAATAAGTTTTTACTTTTACGTTTTATTCATCAAATTACTCATAAAACGATAATAAACAAGTTAATTTGGCTCAATATTTTAGAAGAGGAAATAAAAAGAGAAGATACAATAAATCATGAAAGGAATTTCCTTGTCATTCTTTGCACCATAACAAGAACGATTGTTTAAATTATAAGCAACAGAAGAATAAAATAAATAAAAATCTTGGCTTGTAGACCCCTCGGTCGTGGGTTCGATTCCCACCGTCGCCCTGGCCCTTTTTTCACGCTACCCTTCCCTTCACCGCTGTATACTATGAAACGATAAATAGACTCATACTCTCGCTAATATGCAAGTTCGTAAGCCATTACAAAATATTTAAATAAAGCAACATCTTTCCCTTCTGGATTGCTTTAAAAAATTTAGTCTGCCTGTAAGTTTTCTAAAGAAACTAATCTGATAAACTTGAACTTTGTTCATTGATAATACTAAAAATTACATTCAATTGCAATATTAACGTATTTTCAGATTCCTTTCTTACTTCTTTCGAGAAGTTTACTCGTTTACGTCTTATCACAACAAGGAAATTATTCCCAAGTCCAAATCTGTAATGCTGATGGATGTTAATGTCATATAACAGGTTCGACCAGTCCGGCCATGAGAAGGGAATTTTGTTTGTTCGTCTGATACAAAATCGGAATTCTGCCCGAATTATTTCCCCTTGGAAAGAATAAGTAGAATTAAGCCAGGTTTTATTTTTTCACCGACTGGTTCAAACAAGGATTATTTGAAAATGATGAATTATTTGTAGAAAATAAGAGAGATGTAATTTAAAACCGATCGATATACCGTAAGTTGCTGGTTCAAATTTTTAACTTCGTCTTAGATAATCTTAAGATTAAAATGAGCACAGATTAAACATACTTGGTGTTTTTTCCAGAGATAATCAAATGTTTTCCATGTGCGTAATTTATTTTTAATAATTTAAGTTTCAGTTCAAGAACGATGATATCAGCCTCTGATTGGATGGAAAAAAATTTCCCTTGACGAAACTGCTTAAGCGAAATTTCCCCCAGCGAAGGAAATTGGAAAACTTGATGCCCGTTCCGAACGGACTTGAGATGTTCGTACTTCGTACATCAGCCTAAGCGCTGCGTCAATTAGACTTTATTTCCAAAAAAGCGATTTTACCGTATTTGTCTATTATTTATTTATTGTGTTAAAAAACTTGTTTATAAAATAATTTATGTATCAAAAAATTGTTAATTGCCAAAGAAAATTGTTCCGAAATGTGATTGATCTTTGAATTGAACGTTTACGAGACACCGCCTGATTGTATTATTAGAAAAATAAATAAATTTATTTTTGTTTTATTATTTATTTTTTAAGTGTATTAGATGTAGGAATGGTTTGATAAGATGATGTATGATTTCGTTAAATCATTCACTGACTGGTTCTACAGTGGATATGATTTCTTATCTGAGAGAACTCAATTATTTAGACAAACGGACATAGCATAATGTTCTCATTCTTATATTTTTTTAACTCATCTTTGTTTTTTTAAACAGCGATGAACCTTTAAATTAACCGTTTAAACCAATTTAAAATCTATTTTAGTTGTCAACAACGACTTTATGAAACATTTTAACTTCAAACTTGTTTTGACTTTTTTTTTTAATTTATACTCAAGACAGTTTTGTTGACGGTGTTGATGTTTTTTGCGTTGGCAATTTGTTTCGCCGTTGTTGGTTATTAATATTATGAACTGAGTTGCGATGTTGGAACAAATAAAACCTACATATCTGATGATGAAATCGTAAATAATATTTTTATCAAGACTTAATTTATTTTTTAATACTTAAAAATTTTATTATTTTGCCGCGAGCAAAGCCGTGTATTTAACTTGGTTCATTATCAGAAAAGGTAAGCCCTCCATTTCAGATGGTATAAAATAATAAATACTCCCAAGAATTTCTCGAGAAATGTGATACAGTACTTACTGTAGAGACTGATATGATCTCCATCTCTTGGAACATTCACATACTTTACTATTATTATTATATATTATTACTCTACAAAGACTTAAATTGATGCTAAACGAAGAAAAGCACCCTTCGATGGCAAACATTATGATGATTATTCGACTGCGTGCTTTATGTGCCACCACTTCAAATGGGCCTCAGTAGAGAAGCATTGGAAAGATCTGATGGTGGAAATGGAATGAAGGAATTATTTAAACTGAAATTTGAGATAACAAGATTAGATAGATTAGTAATATGAGGAATTCGAAGGTCTGAGAGTATGGTTATTGACAAAGAAAGCATCGGTGATAGTGCTGAGGATTTCTGACTGAAGGATTGGATCCTGTAAAAGTTTGATTTTTTTTTGCCGTCCCGTACATATTCAGTCCGTAAGTGTTTTTTTGGGGGGGGAATAGTGAGTCCAGAATGTATGTCCGGCAGTGTTTTGCACCTGTAGTAAGAAGTACAAAGTACTGATACCAGAACGGGAAGAATGGGCCAAGGGAACACCACTAAAGGCAATTTCCTACTGGTATTCAGACGGCTCCAAAACCGACAAGGGTAAGGGAGCTGGGGTCTTTGGAATGAACCCCAAGACCGAACTGGCCTAGGCAAGTATGGCACAGTTTTCCAGTCTGAAATCATAGCGATTGAACAATGTGCCAGAGAAATAAAAAGGCTAGGAATACATTCCCGGAAGATAGCCATTTTCTCTGACAGCCAGGCAGCTCTCAGGGCCTTAGCCTCATGCGAGGCGAAGGCAAGGACTGTGTGGAAATGCGTGGAGGCCCTGACGGAAGTCAGCGACATTAATGACTTGACCCTGGTATGGGTCCCTGGACATTCGGGGCATAGAGGCAACGAAAAAGTTGACATGTTGGCCAACAAGCGAGCCAACATGGAATCTATGAGCCCAGAACCCTACTGCGGCCTAGCAGCCTGCCACAAAAGAGGATACATCTTAAAATGGATCCTTAATGAGTCCAAAACCCGGTGGAACAATACCACAGGTATGAGATTCATAGAAGGACCAACCGCAAAACTTACAAAGAACTACTGGAAGGCAACCGCAACCGAACCAGGATTCTGGTTGGACTCCTGAGAGGGCACTGCCACTTAACAAAACACATGCGCCGGTACAGATAGAAGAAACACTGTGCAGATGCCGCCAGGAAGAGGAGGAGACTGCAGAACACATTTTATGTTTCTGCGACGGTCTATGTAGATGCAGGTTCTTGCAACTAGGACAAGAAAAACCACAGTAAGATCCTACACCAAGGAACCGCTGGCAAAGCTGTGGAGGCTGGTTAATAGTCTGAAGCTGGCAAGTGAGTTATAATTAACTGAGGAGCAAAATATATCTATTTAGGTCGAGGCTCAGTAGAACTTGTGGCCGCCTCTCTTATCCATACACCTATCCCTGCACATGTAGTTCAATTCTGCCATATTAAGTCGCGGTATGTGAATTCCATGTATTTGACGCGATCTGCCACAGTAAGTGTTATTTGATTAACGGGACGGAATATTTTGTATTTGATGGTAAAAGACACAAATTGGGATTTGTGAGTCTGCTAAGATAGAATCGCATTTGCGCGTTTGCGGAAAGGATTTCGGTATGATCAGCAAAGGTAAGGGTGAGTGTGTTATAGTTGAGGGAAGCCTGCCGTGTATATGTTGAAAAGTAATGAATCTCGGATGCTCCCATGAGGAACACCAGATAGGGTAGAATCGATCGGAGAGATTGAGTTCCAACAGGTGACGTGGAAGAATCGATCAGATAGAGGGATTTGAGGGTAAGATAGTATGTTCTACAAAGGAAGCATATGAGATTCAGAGTAGATCATAAGCCAGACGAGCACGAACACATGGGGACGTCTAGAAAATATACAGGGCACAACTACTTACGCTCTAGGGATGATGTCTACAGTTCGCCAAATTGGCAGTGAGAAATAATGTCGGTAATGGATAGGCTTTTTTGCAGGGTGCTTGCCAAGCACTTTCCCCTAGATAGATGTGAGAGTTATAGGACAGTATGAGAAAACTGTCGGTTGGTTTGTTAGGCTTGAGGATCCGTTTGGAAGAAGATTTTTATAGGGTAGGGAAATGGTTAAAAAGTTAAAAGAAGTCGATTCTTTACGACTTTAAGTACCGCAATCAATATTGGCCTATTGTGCTAAGTGTGTGTACGAAGGTCGGCGTTATAAATGGTAGTAATTAGTACTATCGCCTGCGAGAAATTTATTTTTTCATTCACCAGGCCTGCAGAATTTGAAGGAGAAAGGGAGAGTTGTAGGTTGTGGATCATTTATTGTATGTATAATTTATGTTTAAAAAGTCAGCGTAGGGCTCCATAAGTTACTTTCTTTGTATTTGCTTCGACGATTAAATTAGTCATATGAAAGCTATCCTTGAAAATTTAGACAGTTGTTTTCTTTTTATCCGAAATCTCCTTTCCAGTATTCGATCATTCTCCAGTACAACAAGAAGTAAATATCTTTATCAAGAAATATCTTTGCTTTAGTTTATCTACAATTCGGTCTATCAATACCACTTACGCAAACATACATTGAATAAAAATGTCATTTTTTATTTATTTAATATGGTATTTACATTGGTATTACAGTTGTTATTGTCATACGAAATAAATCTTCATTTAACTATTAATTTTCATTAAAGTTTTAAACGAAAGTTCTCTTGTTTGAAGTTGATTCGATTATCGAGTAAAACGAGAAGAATTTTAAGGAGATGACCAAGGATGATTAAATCGCTGACAAACATACGTCCTTGTGTTCAAGTTGTTAAGCAGTACACTAAAAATTTACCAGCCTTACATTTTAATCGAACGAGAGAACAACAATCAAAACTGGATAACTACATGTTGGCCAGATTGGACTAATATATTCATTTCTTAAATCCGAGCTAGCACGGGTGGGAAATGCTGACGAACTCGCTGTTAGTAGTTTTCGAATACGTAAAAAATTATCGTGATACATCAGCAGTTCGATGACTCGGCGTTGAAAGTTTTTTGAAATTCTACGCACTGAGAATATTTTAACTCCTTTAAAAATGTTCCTATCAGTTTGATAATAAAATGATTTATTTTTAAACTGATGTAGGATCATTTTTAAGTAGATTGTTTGATATAAATGTTTACTAAAGAAATAACCCTCGTACGATTTAATTCGCTGTGTGTTTCTTTATGCGTTTGTTTATCATTAATATTATTATTAATGATAAAAAATAATAAATTAATATTATTTAAGTTTGATATCATTCAGTGTTTGTAAATGTAAATGATGTGTGTGAACCAGTGGATTATGATATTCTCAGCTATTGAGCGTTTTATGTTTGCTTATTTCTTAGCTTTTGTGTATTTTCCTCCTCTCTATCAGACAACGACCAATCTTTATTTTAAGTAAACTGCACATAAAGGAATGTGTTAATTCATAGTGTAGTCATTAATATTACAAGATGAATCCCCCTACAGTACAGGATGTTCCTCCAAAGGCAATATGCGTTTTTGGGAAGTTATTATAATATCTTATTTCGAGCTGAGGTTTCGAATTTTTTTCTTATGCTGTTAAAATTCCCAATTTTAAGACTGTTTAAGGAAATTCATTAACATCTAGTATTATCCAGATAAACGACAAATGTATATATATCAGAAAATCAACTGTTTTTGTTCTGACAAAAATACACTGCCAATCAAACAACAAACCGACCACCTGAGTTTTGAACGAAAAAATGACCAAGTTTGGAAATGCATATTTTCTCAGCCTTTTAAATCACACACCTGCACTAGGTCTCATTTTTTTAGAAAATTTTACGCTGAACAAGTGATATTTTTATTGTTTTCCTAGCTCAGTCATTCATCGTTAAACGCAGAAATTCTGGAGTATGTTAATTTTTGCACTGACACTCTCAACACGACACACAAGAATGACACAATTACGCAGAAAACGCTTTGAGCCCTGAAGATGTTCTAAATAAAGATCGAACGTTGCCACGATAAAGCAAATGTTTTTCTAAAACCTACGTCACATCAGACCGCATTTCACTCTATTAATGATCTCAAATAATCATGGTCACTAAACACCACACATTTTTACGAAAACTTCAAATTGAGCTGTGTAGCCAGAAAATCGTCCTCGAGCGGCGCCCTTTAGCAATAGTAAATTTTAGTAAGTTTTCAATTGGTCATCTTCCACTTTGCCCGATTTCTCAACCGTTTTTGAGTTAAGGTTTTGAGTGAGGTCTGGGTCTTAAAAGGCTGAAAAAATATCCAAAGTTGGATATTCATTCGTGCAAAAATCACGGTTTTTTTCGGGTTTTTTCCGTGTATATGCGGACTTTTA